ACCCAATGAGCCACCCTACCTTCTGGCAATGAGCATCCACAAACGGCACGTCACAGGATGGAGGGAGAGAACGCTATATGGATGCGCTACAGTAAGAAAATACGACACCAGTCGATGTATTTGTGGCAGAGCAGTAACTGGTGTGGTTGTCACTGATACCAAGATGATTGAGTCTATCTGCTGTCAGGAGGTTGACCTGGACCACGTACTGTCCAGCAGATAGGCATTACCAATTTTGTTTTGTCAAGTCCCCTTTTTCAATACAACAACAATAATAAAGGACCAATGATAATCAAGGTTCTAGAGTTTAAAGACGTTTAGGGGCCACAGAAACCTCGCTGGCTGTGATTTGGGGAACTGTATCGTCTAATGGTGTTGATATCTTTAAACAGATTATGTTTTTCTCTGCTGACAAGCTTCATGGAGATACTTATTTTGTTTTTTCTTTTATAAGCCTTCACTTTTTTTCAAAGAAAATAAAACATATAGAGCATCACATTAAGTCAAATAATGTCCAATAAACACACAGAGCCTTCTTTCATAGGTAAGATCAGTATGCTTTAATAAGATATCAGTGCAGAAACACAAACTTCTTATTGGGTTAAAGTCCCCATATAGTAATAATGATAACAATATATTATAAGATCATTATGAATTTTTAGCATATTAAAATATAGATCTGAATTAGCTAAAGTAACTGTATTGTATGACAATAACAACAGAAAACAAGTAGAAAACAAGTAGTTGAACATGGATCCCAAAAGAAATAATAAAAGAGAAGAATGCTAAGAACACGGTGGAAGAGGAAGCGCAGAGAGTGAGCGGGATTACTCCCGAATGATTTCTCACTTTAGCTAAAACCCTTCAAGGAGCACAGTGTGCTGAGCATTAGCACAGCTTATGAGTTAAAATAGAGACGCAGACGTCCCGTCTACTTTATTTCCTGAAGCTTTTGTCTCTCACACTTTAGATATTATTTTCTTTTTTATGTTTATAGCTGAGGTGAGATTTCTTATTTTGCTTTAATCAAATATACATTAAGAGAAAACAAAGCTAAAATGGAAGGTTTTTATATTTTTTATGTGTTTCTGGTTCAACTTCTGTAAGCAGAGGAGCATTAAAAGAGGAGGTAGGACTTCTCTTCTGTATGAAAAATCATTTCCATTTGGCCAACTCTTTGTATATACAGTCATGTCGTTTATTTCTTATGCCAAGAACTGCTCAGAGAACAACCAAATCCATCTAAGGTGTTGTTCTGTTTTCTTTTTCACCATGCTTGTTTTCTGCCTGTCTCTCTAGAAGTCTTTCTTTGGTCTCCAAAAACATAAACTTTGTGATTGGACAATATTGCACTTTTTTAACTATTGAAATTTTACTAATATCTAGTAAGGTGCTTTTTAATGGAAATTTATTTTAATAATTAAAAAAATTCTACAGCAAAATACATAACTCTACAAACAAATATAACTTTTCCTCCAGTTTGAAATAAGATTAACTTCTTAATCAGCAAGGTTTTAGGACTGGGTAAAAAATAATACAATAAAATGGTGTGTTTAGGGGAAAAGGAGTAATATGATGAAAGTTCATTAGTGGGTGTAACTCTTCTCATGCTCTGCAGGAGGAATGTTTTTTTGTAAAAAGGCCTGTTTAGGGTGAATCCTGGTCAAATTTTTGTTTTTTTGTTGTCTGGCCGACAGTATGTAAAGAATAGTACCACTAGAGTCAAAAAAAGAAAAATATCTCATTCAGGTTTTGTGAAATGTGACTTAGTGGCATACTTTCCTTTTTAGGTTTAATAATTCTGACTTAAAACAGGAGGACTTTTAAATGGAAAGGCTGAAATGAAATTGTTAATAATTAAAGAAAATAGCTTTGACACATTTTTTTAGCTTAAATAAATTTAAGAACTCAAATATACCATTAGGTTATGTTTATAAAGCTTGTGAGATCTCTAAAATATAATGTACAATTAACTATATGTACTGGCTTATTTTTCCCAATTAAAAGAAAATATGGCTTTGCGTTAAACTAAGATAATTATTTGGAGAATCTGTTGGATAATCTTCTATGGCTTTTCAAATTACTAAACAATGTGGAGTTTTGCTAGATTTAAACTAGAACCATAATGCACCTTGTTGTCAGCAGTTTGGCACATATTGAGACAAACCGTCACGTCACCTAACGATCATCCTAACTAGACTAAAGCCTCAGCTCTGTCCCTGCTGCCAGACCCTTTGCTGCTGATCTGAACATCTTTCCAAAAAAAGCAGCTTCAACAGCAGAACCATTGTTCCTGTTTTTCTGATTAGCTTCTCCATTTCCATTAAAATTTCACCAAAAAAACAATCGTCGTTATAAGAAGACTGATTTGTTTTTTAGAAACTTAATCTGCTCCAGTCGTGTTACTCTGCCATTTTGTTGATATAAAGGGAAGCGATTGGAGAAGTGATTGAATCTAAATCCTCAGTGCTCATGGTAAAATAAAGAAAAATATAGCAATTTTAGTATCTGATTTCTCTTTCCAAATCTATCATATCTACTTTTTAGGTTATGGGTTTGATTCCTGGCCCGGGGTCTTTCTGCATAGAGTTTGCATGTTCTCCCTGAGCATGCGTGGGTTCTCTCCGGATACTGCGGCTTCCTCCCACAGTGCAAAAACATGAGTTTAATTGGCTTCTCTAAAGTCTCCTTAGGTGTAAGTGTATGAGTGAATGGTTGTTTGTCTCTGTGTTGCCCTGTGATGGACTGGAGACCTGTCCAGGGAGGACCCCGCCTCTCGCCCAATGACTGCTGGAGATAGAAACCAGCACCCCTCGTGACCCCACTCGGGATAAGCGTGTAAGAAAATGGATGGATGGATAGAACATATTGTTTGTAAAATTTTATAATAATATCCTGCTTTTTTAGGTTTTTTTTTTATTCTGATGCGTAAAATGACATAAAAAATATATATTTATTACCCACTGAGTTTTAGAGTTAGCTCTCAACAGCATATTGAGTGAATATAACACATTTTTATCTGTTATAGTACTTATTAGGTAACAACTATAATCTGAAATGAGTCTACCTGCTCAGCCAGTAACTTTACAGACATCTTTAATGTGAATTCTTGTAATTTCAAAAAACCTAAGTTATTACCTCACAGTAACAAACTGCCTTTGCTAATAAGAAAAACAATCAGACTAAATCTATTTTAAATTAAAGCTACAATCCAACGGGATGATTTGGCCTCTGTTGAAGCAGATTACTTACAATAAATTCAATAATTTTCTTTATAAATTAACAAGCTGAAGGATTCAGTCCATTTTTTACGAGGGAAACTGTGCACTTGAAGGGTGAAATCAGTACATCATGTCACAATAAGGCACATTGTATGGATTCAAATAATAAAAAAACAACAACAGGTGAGTTAAAATAGAGACGTCTTGTGTCCTCTGTTGAAGGAGATTACAGATTATTACGAATTTCATCAGATGTAATAGACATCTGTCCGTTATGTGTTCTGCCTTACTTATTTAAAATACAGTAAGGCAGAACACATTAAAAAACACAGTGTTAGTGGATCCAAGATATGCAATAAAATAAAATAAAAATGACACATACATGATCTACGAAGCACCATTGCTTTTATATAATGCAACTTGAAAATGATGCGATTATGTGGCAACCTCACTTTCCTTATTTATTTAAAATGCTACATATCTGAAAAGTGAAAGTTAGGAAAGTCATGTTTTGCTGTGATGTTTCTTATTTTTTTGTGTGTCAAAGTAAGAACAACAACAGTACTGGCCAACCAACAGATTGAACAGATATTTGCACATAAAAGAGAAGAAAGAAACAACTGGGTGGGTCAAACGGGGGAGGGGGGGGCACCACGACACGGAAACGGGACGAGAGGAAACGGCATAGCCAGAGTTCTTACCTACACAGCATCTATGGAAGGAAGGGCGACTGAGGACAAAGTACCAGGACACATTAAACACTATGTTCAACATTAGCTCCGTTTTTAAATACATAACGTGTATGTGTACAAAGATCTATAGTTCAAAAGTAGTCACTACAGAAAGACCTCAGAACAGTCAGATGAAGAAAAACACAAATAAAGGAAAGAAACATGTTTCACTGAAGGCACCCTGACATCATCTGGGTAGAAATGAACATATAGCTCTCAATAATGTTCTGTAACAAAGGTCTCTGGTGTTGGCTGGTAATAGAAGACAGAAACTGGCCTTATCCTATTACTAAAATATATAAACCTGCTTTCACAGGGTAATGCACAGAGATTGTGGTTGTTGCACTTTTACAAACATCCACATTGAGTATAAAAATGTGTGACTTTCTGCTGTGGCCTGTTCTTCCTGTGTCTGGTATGTGCAGTGGTGAGCACAGGAGTCATGGGGCTGACCTCCATTCTCTAAAGGGGACCACTGAGGTTACATGACTTCCATCATTAGCTGCTGGGTTTTTTGTCTCTGCCAAACCCATAAAACCCTCTAAAGTTTCTACATGGTTTAAGTTCCCTCCTGATCAGCAAAATGCCGTTTTAATCCTTCCAAGCGCCATCTGATTAACCTGAGCTTCCCGTGATTGTCAGAAATACCCTTAAATTAGCTTCCATTCATACATTCCTCTCATTTAAACCTCTTCCAGTGTTGCAAACCGCACTTTCTCCCATTCCAGGTCATTATTTCTACTCCTTTCATTCTTTTCAATATTTCTAAATAAAGAACAACACTTTTACTGTCCTGGAAAAACTTCAAAGTACTCCTTATGTATAAGGAGAATACTTCGTTTCCAGTATTTCTTTCATGTTTCTCTCTGCAGTTGTTAAGTAAATCTTAGGGTTTGGGGCAAAACAAGTTAAACATAAAACATCCAACTGTAATAATCGGTCATTTTATGTTACACTTTATGTTTTACATTAATAAAAAAAGCTAACAAAACAAAAAATCTAAATAATCGTTTGCATTATTTCATCTAATATCTTTACTTTTTTTGCATTCTTTAACGTCTGTCCGCTATGGTACAAGCTGGATAAGAAGCTGTTGGTATCCTTTTGAAAAACCTGAGCATAAACAGTCCAAGACTGATATATAAACGATGCGAAGTGTATTAGCTAATCACTATTACATGGTGCTTAATGAAGCTTCATCATCGTGAATTTTAGTTTGCATAAGAAAACTAAACTTTCTGATTATGCTTATATTACCCAAATAATTAAATAATGTAATTCTAAAAAAAAAAAAAAAAAAAAAAAAAAAAAAAAAAAAAAAAAAGAGAAAAATCTTTGAATAAACTACATTAGAGCAGCAAGCTTAACATTTTTTACACAAATTGGACACTGGCATTAAATCTCCTATTCATCACTTTCTGCTAAAAATGTCTGGAAATGCAGAAAATCTTTAGTGACAGTAAACCACACGAATTTCATCATTCTAAAACCATCAATATATAAATAACCGCAAATCTGAACACATTTTTCAGGCTTTTCCTCCCGGTCATCTGTGCACACCACTGCTTTGATGCGTCCTATGAACCTTGTGCAAGTCAAACTCTTCTGTGCAACTGGTGAATTTGTTGAATTGATGTCACAATAACAAACAAACAAAAAATACCCTGTTCTCACACAGACACATTCAAAATGATCAGATTTTAAAAAGAAGTACGTGTACTAGGTGTGTTTTACTGCTATTTGAAAAGAAGCACATATACAAGAACACAAGAAGGCAGTGTTAATGCGGCAGTGTTGCATCAGTTCAATGAGGATATTCAGTTTGGCGAATAAATGCTGAAGGAATCATCTCACAACAGATTGATGAAAACTGAGGAAAAATATATAGTGGGATATCTAAAGCTATAACTCCGCAGAACTGATTCAGAAAGAAAGATGCAAGCAAATAGTTTCTGAATGCATGTAGAAAAAGGCTCAAGTTAGTCAAAAAAAAGAAAAAAAGGAAGGAGAACAGTGTCTCTGCTAGTGTGTATGTAGTGTAAGTTCACCTGAAAGCTACATGATTTAGGTAGAGGATAGAGGGGTATCCTGGGAGTGGAACGACTGCATCCCTCCGCGACCTTTTAAATGCAACCCATGTGATTCCATACATGCCGTCAGAACTCGTTAATACACAAAGTGAGAGTAACATTATATAACCCCATAAATACCCAGCATTGACCTTTCATTCCCCAGCGACCCATTTCAAACTGATGCAATGTACGGGGGTCACTCCTCCACCCAGCCTACATCTGCTTTAGGCTGAAGAATGATTCAACTCTGTATGTGGCTTGAACTCTGTATTTTTCTGCATGTTTAGAGGGAAGAAGGGAGAGGGGCTGTGTAAGGCAGTAAGTGTTCACTAAATCCGCCGTCTACAGGTGGTCTAGCCTCCAGGATTTGGTCCAGAGGCAAAGAAAGACTTAGTCATGGGCTGCAGGTTGAGGCTTAGGGCCGAAGTCCAGACATATGGAGTTTAGATGCACTGGTCAAGGGCTTGGAGCAGGTCACATCCCTGGAGGAGATGGAGGTTCCCCTGCAGCGGGACGTTGACCTCGCAGTCATAACGGGTCAGCTGGGGTAAACAGGAGGGTTCGAAAGAAGGGCCAAGCAAACGGCTCGCTATACCTGGGAAAAGGACAGAAACATTAAATGGTACAGCACAGCAGTAAGAGCCGAATGAAACATTAATTGTGATCTCATATAAACTGCAATAAAGAGGTTTTTGGATAAGATGTCGGTCTGATATCACTGCAATTGGTGGACCCGTAAAACCGTAATCTTGTCTGAATACGACTGAAGCTAAAATCACTTTAACTTAAGTTTCATTTAGTTCTACAATCAGAATAAAAAGTAAACATCTTCATTGTGGAAGGAACAAGGGTTGGGAAATGAAATAGGAGCATACAGACTAAGCTCTGTCAGTCTACATTACATTGTCCTTTATCTTGAACAGCGGTTATATACGGTGCCGCATTCACCTGTTCACCATGGGCCTGCACAACTGCCATTCATGTTTGTACTTTTTGGGCGCTTGTGTTTTCCGTACCTCCAGTTTGATGTTCCCATGCTGGAGGTAAGCAGTGTTTAGTAGCGCTCCAGGTATAACTTTATAATCTATCAAATGGATGTGGTGTAATTACAAATCACTATTTGAAGCGTAGGGCTTTCTGCTACAAAAAGAACGCTGTGGTAATGTTGGTAATGTGAACTTTGGAATTTATTTAGGAGCATCAGAGTAAAAAGGGTTAAATAAAAAAATAAATGCCTAAAAAATAACTTAAAAAAGACAAAACCTTTTACCTCTGCTTTAAAACTATGTGCTGTTCAATAGAAAAGTAAAAGGTAGGCGAATTTGTTGCTGAAAGCTGGTTTTCTTATGAGGCCTTTGTGAAAGAAGACCCAAAGTTCCTAAAAGCAATAAGACATAATATGCAAAGAAAAATAATCCCAATGCTGCTTCACCTAAGTAAGGCAGAAATCCACCCGGACAGCAGCTGAATCAATGTTCAGAGTATTTTAAGTCACCTTCAGTCTTGTTAGAAGCACACATGTTATAATCTGTGAAGCTGCAGCTCTTTCGGGGAAAAGGTTTGTCATCGGGGCGCCTGATCCCACCCCCATGATACTGAGACGTCCTGTGTTGGTGTAGAGGGCTGGGAAAGAGGGGTCCGTTTCTCGGCATCATGCGCCCCATCATCCCTGACTCTGAAATGATAGCTGCATGTTAACAGGAGCACAGAGAGACAGGCCAGCTAAGAAAAAAAAACAAAAGCAAAAGGATACCTGTGAGGGATCCTGCACTCAGGGAGCGATCCATACAGCCGTCACCCCTCATCTTCTTCCATACAATGTTTGTCACCTTTTTATCACCCTGCAGAAACAATGACCACCATGAGGCCACCTGTGCGTCTAAGAGTTTAGTCTGTTTCCTATATATAATAACATATAATAACAGAAGGCGATAGAATCCATTAAGCTTTTTAAAGTGATGTACTCAAACATAAAATACAGCTGACCAGAATGTCAGCTGATCTAGGGCTGGTGGGCGGGGCATATCCGTTTTGGTCCCTTGCACATCCTACTGTCTAAAAACAATGTTACGCTACAGAACACAGACATTTGTCGAGCACTAGGACCAAGCAGAAAACTGAAGTCAAGCTGAAGCTCGCTTCCCTGAGTTTAGACCCGTACACAAGCTCCTGATTGGCCCTCCGTCTTTTCTTGTGCGATTGCCTGTCACCGCTGTCACAAACATTTACAAAAATCTGATGCGCCACAGAATCTGGTCCGTGATTGGACGGTCAAACCCCCCCCCCCCCCCCCCCCCCCCCCCCTTTTTTAGGGAAACTTACCAGAGCCATCTGGTTGAAGGAGCGCTTCATGCTGTTATTCATGGCAACTGTAGCTGGACTAACGTCTTTGTACGCTTGCACAAAATTGTCAACAGACCTAAACCAACACAGTTGTCATTATAAATAGGAAAACATTCATTAACGTACAGCTTTTTCTTCCCAAACTCTTCATAAAGGATGGGTTGATTACCTTACCTTTGTTTATGCATTAGAAGTGACATGTTCTGCTGGCATGAGGGGCGTTCTTCCCCAAACAGATTGTCCATCAGACAGGCCTTCGGCGGCCATTGTTGGTAGGTTATTATTGGGTCAGGAGGCCACTGCATGGAAGACAGTGGTGTGCTGGCCGGGCCTCGGAAAGCTGGGTTGTGAATGGGGCGCATCATGCATGACCTCTGCTGGGACTCCACAGAGCCCAGGTTGGAGCCTCTTCTCTCACCGCTGGCCCATGCCGCTTGTGGTTGCTGCTGATAGCCGTTCTGAGGCTGAGGAAGAGAGGTCAGTGGCTGGAAGAGGCTGGCCACATTGTTGCAGCTCTGATGGATGGTTAGGTTGCTCATGCTCCCCATGGATCCTGCTCCAGCCCCTTCCAGAGGTTCTGACTCTGGGATGATGGGATTCAGCTGAAAGTCTTCACCGTCCATTGGGATGTAAGGGGCCAGGGTTTCCAAATCCAGGTCACTTAAGTCCTCCTAAAGAAGACAAAATGGGATCAAATGTTTTTGAAAAGCAATAAATAAGTAAAATGAAGTAAAGAAGTTTATCTATGCAAAGTAATTCCATTAAAATTTTCATTGATCAGTAACAAATACTCTGGTAAAATAATGTATTTATTAAAGATGTCATTTTCAGCCACTATTGGAACTTACAGGTTTAGATGAAATCCTTAGAGTTGCTCTCTCAGACTGCCATAAAGTGCCACCCTCGGTCACATGACTCATTCAGTGATGGATACAACCCTTTCAAGTTTTAGAGAAAGAGGAACGCTACAAGTCTTCCGTCAGCCGGGCCCTGCCCACCCTCCACCCATCAGCCTTCCTGCCTCAAGGTCACCTGTGTTCTCAGCGCCCTCCCTCCTTAGATCGCCATCCCTCTGGCCAATTCTCTGCGTTACATTGTAAGAGTGCACTGGTGTGTTCACCTCTTGAACCCACCATTCAAATCTAAGCATGAACTTTCCTTCTAGAACCTGACGCTCCTTCACCTCCTCAGTAAACCCAATGTCCTTTTGTCTCCCGTTGGTTCCCGAGCCTCCAGCTCCCCACCACTGTCAGCGGTTCTCCATCTGGTTCACTAAATAAAGTCGCTTAAACTCTGACTTGTTCTCCACAGTGTTTCAACATTTGGGCTAAACAGCTGAAAACCGAGACACAAACTAAGCTAATAGTTAAGTTAAAATTTACTCAGTGTTGCTTAAATTAGCAATGATGTAAAAAAATGGATTAATCCAAAGTCCATTAGAGTTTAACACTTCTTTGTTTCACTGTTAAAACACTCATCCTGAAGTAAAACAGAAAAAAGTTCCTGATTTCTTGAGAAGCACCTAACTGCAGGACAGGGTGCCGCCATTTCTATAAGACATATTGGACGTTGGATATTTTGGCCAAATAATAAAAAAAAAGTTAACATTTTTTTTATTATTAAATATTAATTCAAATTTAAAGTTTTAATTTAGACATTATAAGTTTTGAGTGCAAGAAGATGAAATTCTTTTCTCTAATTGAAGTTATGTGCTCTTGCATTATCGCAGGATAATTCTCCCATATCTATGTGCCACCAGTCTGATAGGGCGACACTGTGTGATATGGTAGTGCTTCCTTGGGTTGACTATAGTTCTAAGTTGTACGTTTCATATACTGTTGATTTTGTGTTTTCATTAATACATTGTACTTAAAAATACTTCCTTTATTTGCATTAAAACTTTGTCAGACTGATGTGAAAAAGTCTCAAGGATATCCTTCTTTGCAATGATGCTATTGCCTATTGCCTACTGTCCATTTATGCAACTTGTATTTTGTGGTTAAACTTTAGATTAAGCAGAAATCTATCAAAGATAATGCTGCATTTATTGTTAAGTTCCTCACATATATGTGTTTCTCTCTGTGCCAGGTGTAGAGAAAGACATGCCAAAGTCCAGGTCACACACACACACCAAGCACACACACAGAAACAGGGTTATTGCAAAGCAGACAGGGGTTCCTGACAGGTTGTGGGTGCAGGGGAGATGGGGAAAGATGAATGGCCAGGTTAAGGGTTTATGAAGATGTTGGGAGTCTGTTGGTTAGACAACTGTCTTCTGTAGAAGGTTTCCATTATGATGAGTGGCGAACCACTTGCCTTCTTCCATTTATGCAGTAATGCATGGCACCTACCATTTACTCTTTGTAATTTAGCACATTTTAACTGGTGTAGTTTAGTTGGTGAAGTAGCATTAGTGAGGGAAGTGTTTCCCAGGTATGTTGCTCTTAAAATAATGAATTTATAGACAGCGCCTTAGAAAGTGCACTGAAAAAATTTCGGCGCGCGCAGTGCGCGCGCAATATCTTACCTAGGGGCTAAGCCACCCATGTCTCTCAAACCTAGTGACGGCCCTGAGCTTAACCCCCTGTCTCCTCGTGAAAGCTCTGGATGAGCTTAACCACCTGTCTCCTCGTGAAAGCTCTGGATGAGCTTAACCTCCTGTTTCCTTGTGAAGCTCTGGAAGAACTGTCTCTCTGGCAACCTGTCTCTGGCCCTGCAGCTCTGGGAGAGTTGCATCATATGAAGCCAGTCCCAAGCCTGACGCTCTAGGAAAGCTAACCTGCTAATCTGCCCTGGTGAGCCAACCCAAGAATTCTATGTGGATGCTACCTGACGACTCCCCTGTGGAGTTTCCCTAAGAGGTTCCCATGTGGATTTCCCCTGTTGTTTCCCTGCTGTGAGCTGGAAGCTCAAATCCAGCCATCTCCCTTTCCCCGCACAGACCCCAGCGAATCAGTCCCCTGCCTGAACTGTGATTCATGTGCTTGTGCCTTTAATAAACTCTTTGGACTTTTTCCTGAGTCTCCGTGTGTGTTCTGCATCTTGGGCTTGCTTCCATCATGACAGAACACTGCGGCCAAACACAAAGCCCAGCAGATCACCTCCGTCGTTGGACTGAGAAACAGGACGCTCAGACACTTGATCACTCACAACCCGTCCATGAGTTATTGTTAAAACAAACATTCGCTAGCCACTTCTACAATGATAACGCCACGTCAGCGGCTCGTCCTGCCCCGAATACTCTTCCGCTTCCTGGTTCTCCGGTGGTGACGTCATCTCCTAGTCAAGATGATACCCTTCCTTTCTGGTCTGAACTCTACCCGTCGTTTTCGTCACCTGGTCCATCTCTGCCTGAGAGATTTTCAGGTAACCCACGTAAGCTCAAGGGATTTTTATTTCAGTGTCAGTTATTTTTTGGTTTTCATACTTCTAGTTTTCCTACTGATCAGGATAATATTGCTTTTGTTGTTTCATTTTTGTCTGGTGAAGCCCTTGAATGGGCGGAGTCAAGTTTTCAGCTAAAATCTAGAAAGAGTTGTACATATCAGAGTTTCATCCTGGAGTTTGAAAAAGCCTTTTGTAGGGTCACTATGTGTTCAGTTTCTGGTGAGCTTCTGAATATTAAACAGGGTAATAGGTCCGTAGCCGAGTTTTCTATGGAGTTCCAGGTTAGAGCAACCGTTTCCGGGTGGAACGAGTCTGCGCTCAAGTCCGCTTTTCTCATGGCTTTAAACAGTTCCATCAGAAAGGACCTTTCTTTTTACGTCGAGCCAGCTACCCTAGAGGACCTCGTTGAATTAGCCATTGGATTAGACTTAGCTTCACACACCAGTTTTAGTTCCTCTCCGCGCCGGGTTAGTCTCAGTTCACATATTCTAGACCATCATTTAACTCCATCCGTTAAAAGACTCCAGATTGGCCCACCTATTTCACGTCAGACTGTTAGAGTTCCCCGCCAGCCTGATCATACTCCTGCACCCCTCACCGTGGAATCTAGACCTGTCCTCTCACCCGTTTACCGTGATCCCTACATCCATGAGGATGACCTTTGGGAGTTTTTCTATGGGGATAGAGAGGATATCTACCCTTTCGTGCCACCACATTCAGCTCCCCGCCAGCCTGAACCAGTTAGTTTTGAGCCAGACCCCATGCCTGACTCTTCCGGTATTCTCCTGACTCCGGTATTCATATTTTTCAACCGGTTAATTCATCGCTAGATTCAATCAATAAACCGGCTAGCCTAGCTCCTAAAACCCCTCGGCGTAGGAAACGGCGTCGCCCTAAGCCAGCTCTGTGCCGTCTAGAGACCCCTGGGTCAGCTCTGTGCCGTCTAGAGACCCCTGAGTCAGCTCCGTGCCATCCAGAGACCCCTGAGCCTGCCCTGTGCCGTCCAGAGACCCCTGAGCCTGCCCTGGGCTGTCCAGAGACCCCTGAGCCTGCCCTGTGCGGTCCAGAGACCCCTGAGCATACACTTAAGAGGGCTTCAGAGAGTGGTATTGGTGATGGTATGCCTCCAGGAGCCCCTCAGCAAAGGCCACAAGTCGCCAAGAGCTCTCTACAGACGCCTCACGCCTCCTCAGAGACTGAACTTGAGCCTCCATGGTCGTTCCCTCCAGTTCCAGAGGTGGAACCACAGTCGGTGGTCCCACCTGCTCCTGAGGGTGAACCACAGTCGGTGTTCCCACCTGCTCCTGAGGGTGAACCAAAGTCGGTGGTGTCACCTGCCCCTGAGGCTGAACCACAGTCGGTGGTGTTTCCTGTCCCTGAGGTGGAGCCACAGTCGGTGACCTCCCCAGTTCCTGAGGCGGATCCTCAGTCAGAGGGTTCGCATGTTCCTGCGTTGGAGCCACTGTCGGCGGGCTCCCCTGTTCCTGATCTGGAGCCGCAATCGGCTGGCTCCCCTGTTCCTGATCGGGAGCCGCAATCGGCGGGCTCCCCTGTTCCTGATCGGGAGCCGCAATCGGCGGGCTCCCCTGTTCCTGATCGGGAGCCGCAATCGGCGGGCTCCCCTGCTCCAGAGGCGCAATCGGCGGGCTCCCCTGCTCCAGAGCCGCAATCGGCGGGCTCCCCTGCTCCAGACCCTGTTCCAGAGCCGCAGTCGGCGGCCTCTTCAGAGCCTCCTCCAGAGCAGCAGTCGGCGGCCTCTTCAGAGCCTCCTCCAGAGCCGCAGTCGGCTGTCTCTTCAGAACTTCCTCCAGAGCCGCAGTCGGCGGCCTCTTCAGAGCCTCCTCCAGAGCCGCAGTCGGCGGCCTCTTCAGAGCCTCCTCCAGAGCCGCAGTCGGCGGCCTCTTCAGAGCCTCCTCCAGAGCCGCAGTCGGCGGCCTCTTCAGAACTTCCTCCAGAGCCTCAGTCAGCGGCCTCTTCAGAGCCTCCTCCAGAGCCGCAGTCGGCAGCCTCTTCAGAGCCTCCTCCAGAGCCGCAGTCGGCGGTCTCTTCAGAACTTCCTCCAGAGCCGCACTTGACGGTCTCCCCAGAACCTCCACCAGAGCCACACTCGGCGGTCTCCTCAGAGCCTCCTCCTGAGCCCCAGTCGGCGGTCGCTACAGAGCCTGAGCTACCGAGGAGGGGACGGGGTACCCCGTGGGGGTACCTGCTGAAGTTTGGGCGTCTTCCTCCTGAGAAGGTTCTTCGCCTTCGGCCCCGCGGCAGACCTCCTGAGCGTCAGCTTCACCTTCGGCCCCGTGGTGGACCTCCTGAGCGTCAGCTTCGCCTCCGGTCCCACGGCAGAACCCCGGAGCATCATCTTCATCGCCGCCCCCGTGGCAGACCCCCAGAGTGTCAGCGTCGCCTTGGACCCCGCTGCCGGCCACCTAAGACTTTGCTCCGTTGCCGGATCATAGGCCGGCCTCCTGAACCTCTGCCATGCCTCCGGCCCGGCGGTGGTCCTCCTAAGACGCTGCTTTGTTCCCAGCCCCGTGGTCGGCTTCCTGAGCAGCTTCTATGCCTCCGTTGCCGGCCCCTCGGCAGGCTACCTGAGACTGTGTCCTGCAGCCAGCCCTACGGCAGGCCACCTGAGACTGTGTCCTGCAGCCGGCCCCACGGTAGGCCACCCGAGACTGTGTCCTGCTGCCGGTCCCACGGCAGCCCTCCTGGGACTGTGTCCTGCTGCCGGTCCCACAGCAGCCCTCCTGGGACTCTGTCCCGCTGCCGGTCCCTCGGCCAGCCACCTGAGACTCTGTCCTGCTGCCAGTCCCTCGGCCGGCCACCAGAGACTTTGCCCAAGAAAGTTTTTGGGTTTTCTTTTGTTTTCGTCCACCATAAGTGGATCGTTTTTTGTTCTGGACTCTGGTTTTGTTTTCTGCCCTCCTGGCCTGTTTCCACCTTCGCCCACCCTGGGTGGGTTGTTTTTTGTTTGTTGGACCTCTTTTTCTGTTGGTTCTGGCCCTCCTCGACCTAGTGCCCCCTCCACCCGCCCTGGGTGGGTTGGTTTTGTTTTCTGGACTCTGTTTTTTGTTGTTTCTGGCCCTCCTCACCCTAGTGCCCCCTCCGCCCACCCTGGGTGGGTTGTTTTTGTTTTTTGTTGTTTCTGGCCCTCCTCACCCTAGTGCCCCCTCCGCCCACCCTGAGTGGGTTGTTTTTTTTGTTTGTTTTTGTTGGATTTTTTCTGGGGGCGTCTGGAATCCGCCCTTGAGGGGGGGGCTCTGTTGGGATCCTCAGGCTTGCCCACCAGAGGGCGCCGAGGATCCTCTTCTGCTCTCTTTGTTTTTCCCTTAGGGTTGGAGTTACTGTGGGGATCTGGAGATTACCCTCTGTCTCCAGCAGGATGCGCTGTGGGTCTTCTGGAGCTGGAACCTTCCTGAACACCTATTCCTAATCCTCTTATCAGAAGACCTCTCCTTTATAAGCTCCTGCCTGACCTTGATTCCACGCCGCAGTGTTGATCTTAGAATCCTGTCTCTTCGTGAAAGCTCTGGATGAGCTTAACCTCCTGTCTCTTCGTGAAAGCTCTGGATGAGCTTAACCCTCTGACTCCTCGTGAAAGCTCTGGATGAGCTTAACCCTCTGACTCCTCGTGAAAGCTCTGGATGAGCTTAACCCTCTGACTCCTCGTGAAAGCTCTGGATGAGCTTAACCCTCTGACTCCTCGTGAAAGCTCTGGATGAGCTTAACCCTCTGACTCCTCGTGAAAGCTCTGGATGAGCTTAACCCTCTGACTCCTCGTGAAAGCTCTGGATGAGCTTAACCTCCTGTCTCTTCGTGAAAGCTCTGGATGAGCTTAACCCCCTGTCTCCTCGTGAAAGCTCTGGATGAGCTTAACCTCCTGTCTCCTCGTGAAAGCTCTGGATGAGCTTAACCCCCTGTCTCCTCGTGAAAGCTCTGGATGAGCTTAACCTCCTGTCTCTTCGTGAAAGCTCTGGATGAGCTTAACCCTCTGACTCCTCGTGAAAGCTCTGGATGAGCTTAACCCCCTGTCTCCTCGTGAAAGCTCTGGATGAGCTTAACCTCCTGTTTCCTTGTGAAGCTCTGGAAGAACTGTCTCTCTGGCAACCTGTCTCTGGCCTGCAGCTCTGGGAGAGTTGCATCATAGGAAGCCAGTCCCAAGCCTGACGTTCTAGGAAAGCTAACCTGCTAATCTGCCCTGGTGAGCCAACCCAAGAATTCTACGTGGATGCTACCTGACGACTCCCCTGTGGAGTTTCCCTAAGAGGTTCACATGTGGATTTCCCCTGTTGTTTCCCTGCAGTGAGCTGGAAGCTCAAATCCAGCCATCTCCCTTTCCCCGCACAGACCCCAGCGAATCAGTCCCCTGCCTGAACTGTGATTCATGTGCTTGTGCCTTTAATAAACTCTTTGGACTTTTTCCCGAGTCTCCGTGTGTGTTCTGCATCTTGGGCTTGCTTCCGTTTACCCATCATGACAAACCTAAGGTTAATGGATTTAATATGACTTTAATAAATTCCCTTTTGGGGCCGACTATGATTTCTGGTGTGTACTCCTGATTGTATTTAGATCAATGAGTGTTGGGCAGACACCCACCTCTTTGTGTGCAGCCCTGTCGTTCCCGTCAGTCTCCAGAGCAAACAGCTTCTCGGTGAGCTCTACCCTCAGGTCGCTCTCCACTGAGCTGTAGTAATCACCTGGGCTGCTAGGCTGCAGATGGAAAAATGCAAAAATGAGATAAACTGATTATGGCAAAAGGAGCCAAGGAGCACAAACAAAGACAAAATGGGAGGCCAGATGGAGTAAAATATGAGGTTCTAGAAAGGCTCCATTCATGGCTAACCAGATTGCTCCATCCAAACTTCCACCCGGTGTTCTCACCAACTTTGCCCATTTTTACTCACCTCACTAAACTCACACAGAATAAACAAGGAAACAAACCCCATCAACCAGTGGCAGTCTTCAAACTATTAGGACTTCAAACTAAACAATCAGGCTATCATTATTCCTTCTCCTCCTCACCGTGGAGCAGCTGCTGAGGCTCGGAGTAGCGCTTCCAGGTGGAGGCTTCTGCTGCATGGTGAAAGCACCAGCCCTTAAAGGCATGTCGCCGGCAGCAGGAGCTGGTTTCTGGCTCTCGCCTGTCCAAGATGAAGGTCCAGGAGGTGGCATGGATGAAGAGGACACTGAGGGGAATGGTGCTGGCTGCTGGGATTCCTCAAACTCAGGACGACCTGAAGGGAAAGAGTCTTTTGTAGACAAGCTTTCATTTGCAGAAAAAGTAGAAATAGAAAAAGTCAGAGGTCCAAACCCACCAAAGTCAAGGGAAATGATGGTGTCTCCAGGCGTCGGAGCGAGCTGAGCCAGGTCGTCTGGCTCCTCTTTGAAGGAGGTGAAAAGGGAGTCTCTTCCCTCTGCAGTCATGCCTGCTCCTTCGGTGGTGAAGAAGCTGCTCATGTGAGGTGGCTTGAACATGGCCTCCGTCTGCTCCAGGGAGAAAATCACCGACTTCTCCTCCACGTCGCTGCACCACATGAGAAGATACCAGTGAGTTAGAACAGGAATTTAAGACTTTAGGGTCAGAAATTCTCTGCTAACGTGGCAGGAGCTGACCTCAGGACGTAGTTGATGCAAACAATGCACTGGGGCTGAGAGTTGCGGCTGTTGTAAATGACAGTTCCCTGAGTCTCCACCCAGACATAGCCTCCGTTCTTCGCCAGCATGCGATACTGACCGCTCACTGCCTGGCCCTTGGTGCACACTGAAGAGAGAAACGGATAGGAAAAAAAAAAAAAAACATGAGCAACTTCTTCTTGACACCAACGCGGATCTGTATTCAGCAATAGAGCTGCAGCTCCAAAAAAATAGTTAAAAAACGTCCTGTTTTGCGTTTTGCTTCAGATTCCCAACTGGATCTAATCTGATTTTAGCCCATAAAATGGCTTTAGTCAAAGTTGTTTCCCATAGCCCTTATGTCTGTTTAGAGTCTTTGCTTTCCTTGAGGACCAACCTCTGTCATAGAGACAAGCCTTTTGACCCATCTAGATTTATTTACCTTCCCTTAAGTTTAGACCTTCTTCTTGGTTTCTGACTGAAAAAAGGCACACAGCATAATCCCTCCATCCTCCTGTTGTAACACTGGGATGTGTGCTAAGACAACCTTTGTGTTTTCTCTGATGTATATCATTTTCCTCCCACCCTACCCAAGAGAGGAATTGTCAATTCAATTCAATCTAGTAGCACCAATTCACAACACATAACCTGTTAAGGTACTTTATTGATTTTCAGAACACTTTGCTCCCGGGTGACAAGCAATTAAGCAGACGATCACTCAGGTGGTTTTCAAGTCAAAGGGATGAAAGAGAGCACCTACAGTTGGCCACATAAAAGCCGAGCCTATAGGCAGGTCTAGGAGAGAAACAAGACTAAACACTAAAAAAAAACAGGCCCAACTCTGTCATCTATAATCAAAGGTGTTCCTGGCAGAAACTAAGCTGATATGTTCTCTCCAGGTTGGTGCTACAGCCCCACAGGAACAGACCAGGTGAAGCTACTATGACCAGAAAAAGCAGAGAGAATTTTCTGGATAATGACTGGTTTGTTGCAGGCTAGCCTCCGCAGTGACATAATTAACACATGTATGTTAAATCGTGACATCCTCTTTGCCTTCGACAAAACTACCTAAAGGGGACGTTCCTGTCTACATGGTTTATGGCGAAATAGAAAACAGACTCTCTTCTTCCTGGTTCTCTAAGAATGGCTGGATTTAGACAGAAGTTAAACTATACACAGAGGTGTGTAGAGTATGCAAACTTTTCACTAAAGATGGGATCTACTTTAACCTTTTTTTTTTACTCAAGAAAAAGTAAAAAAAACATTCATCAGAGAGTGAAAAGCACTCAGTAAAATAGCTACTAAAATACTAAGTGATTGTATTTTGTACACAGTTTATAGCTGTGCTACAAACGGTGCCACCTTGCTAGCCTTCATAAAACGAAGTCTCCCCTAAAATGTGAAAAAATAACATTTGTAAAAGGAAAATAAATCATGTCAAATATAAAATCTAAAATAATAGAAAACAGCAAAAATATATGTCAAACTTTGCATACCTATAATTTACACTTAAAAACTAAGGAGAGGTTTTTGAGAGTTCCATTTAAAAATATTCAATTTCTTTAAATGTCTTTTTTTTTTTTACATTTTCTTTGTTTTTCAAATATACTGAAGCAAATTTCTCTCCATTCTTGTGACATGGTAGAAATGTATTTGACTTTTCAAAATGTATATATATATATATTTAAAGATGTGAGCTGACATTTTAGATGCATCTCTGCTTCCAAACATGAATCAAATTACTCAATTACCTCCTCAGCTAAGCAGACAGATTTTCACAATCCTGTAAATGACCTGATTATCTGCCTTTGTGGTGTTGTTGTTAAGGAACCTACTGTATTAGTGAGACACTCAGTCAAACAAGCATAGTGTTTACACACTACTTATTCCATGCAAGTTCAACTAAATAAGCCTCAAATTTTTGACTCCAATGTGACAAAATACTAAGAGTTAGAGGATAATAAATATTGCTTCAATGAAGGGTGTGTTAGAGAAATAAGGTGTTTAATATCCGAGCAGAGCAAAGAAGTTTTATCAATAGACTTTATACATGAGCTGCAGAGACTGTTGGGATCTGATTAATTAATCATACAGGAATATCAAACAGTTTCTTAAAAACTGATTCTGATCAATGACAACAGCCAATGGTTTTAAGTGTGAAGTGTTTCATAAATTATAACTGTCCCTGCATTTCTTAGCACGGCTAAGCTGGATGTTTGACTTCAGGCTGAGAACGAATCCGCTGGCTGTAGGCCAGGGTTCAGCGCTGGCGTGGGAAAGCAGCGCCACTGGTCAAGGAGCTCACATTAGGCTGCTGACACTTTGTGTCCGTGTGTCTGAGTGACTCCCTGAGGAAGTTTGCATGTAGCGGGGGACGCTGCTTCATGCTGCTGATCAACAGGCTGGTCACGTTGGCCGGGAGAGCGGTACGAGCCGGTTTTCTCCACGTGCCTTTTATATGTCTGTCTGCAGACAAAAAAGGAACTCGATATATCGCTGCGACTATGATCCAATGAAATACATCGGCAAAAAAAAATTCCATTTGTGAGCTATGGAAAAAAAAGCCTTATTCAAACACTGCATTTGACAAACCTTATCGTAGGAGGAAGTATCTTTTTTATGAATCAGTTCTGAAAATTTATCTTGAGTTTTAAGACTAAAATTTGCAAACAATAATAAAACAGCATGAAAGCAAAAAGGAAACCATTTTATTTCAAGGAATGCTGTTTCATTGCTCTAAAACCTAATAAATTTCATAGTGTAACTGGAAAAAAATGGTAGACATCAAACCTACAGATAAAATATGTGTGGGACAAAATGGCTTTTCATACGGAAGAGGATTAGGGCAAATGAAAAAATCTAATAAAATTTACTGATTTTTTCATTTTCTTTCCGTATATGGGAAAAAGTCAGGATTCTGACATTAACCTCAGAATCCTGACTTTTTTTTTCTCTGAATTCTGACTTTTTTCTCTGAATCCTGACTTTTTTTTCTCTGAATTCTGACTTTTTTCTCTGAATTCTGACCATGAGGGAAGAGATGTGTACCGAAAAGGATTAGGAGTAGGGCCACTAAAAAATAAAAAAAAATTTAACTGATTTTCAAATTTAGTTTCGGTATAATATGGGAAAAAGTCAGAATTCTGAGATTAAAGTCTTAACTTTAATCTTAACTTTTTTCACATATTATACTGAAATAAAATTTAAAAATCAGTTAACTTTCCTTCATTGTTTCAGTGGCTCTAACCTATGATCAAACATGAATAGAAAGCAAGATATTGACAAAGGTGTGACTATTCACTGTTGTTATTGTTATAAACCTAAATAGATTAAATAAGCTAAGTTATGTACTGTTTCTATCAAAAAAGAAAAAAGCAGATCACATGTTCATTGATGATGTTGCAGAGCTTTTCTGTTTGGAGCGGCTAATGATACCGTTCTGTCAGCAGAGAGAATATCCATGACACTTCAGATCATCGCTTGAACACAGATGCGCACAAACAGTGTTATTAGATGGTAATAGAGGCCACCTGGTCCCCTGTCCACCACGTTTGGGCTCATGGGACCAGATGAGTGCAAACCTCATCAGGCCATCAGTGGCTTGACTTAATTTGATAAAAGACATCTTAATACCCCATAATGCTCCTGCTCTGCACACACACACACAACAAAAAGAGTGGGATGCATGGATAGACCAAAAATAGATAGTAAGTGATCATATGCAGCCTGTTAGCTACACCTGACTCACATTTAGTCCCTTGCTTTAACACATTATTTCATTGGATAAAGTTTTTTACTGAAGCTCCTGTCATTCAAACCACCTTGTTCTGCCCTGATCTTAAGGCTAACATCTCACTTAAAAACATGCTAACATGTTGTACAAAGAGGTGACTTTTAATATGGACCACATGGGCAGCTTCCCAGGGTGCATTAGGGGAAGAATGTAGGGGAAGCACAAACAAAAGACAAAAAAAAACAAAACAAAAAAACATTTTATCTTTAAAAAACACCCAAAGAAATGATGGAATACATTTTCCTCTGATGTGGAGGAAAGTGGACAACGAGGGATGATGTTATCCCATCACATTAACTCAAATTACTTCCAACATTTTGATGAGTCGGTAACGTACACGTAAATCTTTTTTCGCTATTCTATCTTTAAGGAGCATTTGGTAACTTAATATAAAAATATGTTTTATATATTAGCTAAAACTGTCACTATGGCCTGATAGTAGAATATAAGGCAGAAAATCTGTGAAAAAATTTAAGCTCCTCCTCTTAGTGGAAGAAGAGACGTCGTACTAGAAGGAGTGCTTCTTCAAATCTTTACTTTAAGTTAGCGGCTTCCTAAAAACTCCCTACTTTGGCTTTAAAAGTGGGATCTCCAAGTTTAACTCCTCCTGGCCAGTGAGTGGCGCACTCACACTCAGCAGCTTGTGTTTCACACTGTTTGGTAGCAGGTCTGCAAACATAGGCTCTGTTCGAAAACCTAGGACGGGTCCTCCAAAGACGCGGTCTACCTAGACTGGATCCTTCGAAGTCCTTGAAAATAAGGAGACCGGAAGAGTTTTGGCTGTAAATTCGACCAGGTCTACCCTTTGGCGGGTTTTACCGCCGTATGCTCTGTTGCTTAGCAACCGTGAACGTTGACACACAAAGCAGGAAAAGAATGAATACAGAAGTTTTCAAAACTGTTTATTTCTTTTTTATTGTGAAGTGAACAAAGACTACACTCACAAGAATCCAGAGTGGAATAAATGTTCCAACCACCGGGAGCAGGAACAAATCAAATCAAATGTAATGATAGAAACCTTAGTCAGTTAAATAACCTGCTGCTGTCATTCTGCACATCTCTGATGCTGCTGCTATTTTCAACATTACTGTAAAAATGTCCATAGCTGCATATTGGTTATTTATTCCCCAGTTTTATATTGTTAAAACACTTTACAGTATTTTATTTTTTATATTTTAACTCTTCCCTATTATGTTATTCTTATACATTTTTCTAAGGTCCACATTTGTGTGACCACTTTCAATAATCTTTCTGCTGCTGTAAATCTGCCCATTGTGGGACAATAAAGGGATTTTCTATTCTATTCTATAAAAGGGGTAGAAAGATATAAGTAAATCTAAACAATATATTTACAAAAAATATATCTGCAAAATCTCTAATATTCAACAACAAAAAATACAAAGTTAAGCATATTGTGCAAAATAGCAATAAAAAGATAAAAATCCTATCAGATTTATAGTATATATATATATATATATATATATATATATATATATATATATATATATATATATATATATATATATATATATATATATATATATATATACAGTAACAGATTAAAACCTTTAGATAAACCAAACATTACCGCCACATATCTGACTCAGTAACCATTAAAACAACTATTTTCATTCATTTCAGACGGAACTATTCACAGAGTTGTATTATATTAAACTGAACTTCCAATTTTCACCACTGTTCGGCGCCAAGTAACCTTTCCTCTGATCACGGCTTGCTTGGTCTCGCAATGAATCCTGGGATATCCAAGAATACCGAGGATACATCAGACCCGTCCTTCAAATCGGGCAAAAAGAAGGACGCATTTTAAGGCCGCATAACGAGGACTCTTGGAATCCGACCAGACCTCGGCGCCGCGCTATGACGTAATCGGCCTTCGAATCCGGTCTTCTAAGGATGCGTCCTAGGTTTTCGAACAGAGCCATACAGCTAAGCTGGTGAGGGGGGAAAAAAACCTCTGCATCCTTCTGGGCTCCTTTGCTTCCCTTAATCTGCAGCAGCAATGAAAAGCTCTGCAGATATCTGCCCTCGTTTTGGTTCCTTTTTCTTGTTTTTGCCTTAAATCTGAGTAATATAATGGAGACAGGAAGTAGAGCTACAATGATCTGGGAACAGCTGAGCTCCGTCTCATGTTGCTTCTTTCCATGATTCCTATTAGTACAGAATACTTTTGTATTTACATTGATTCGTAACCAGAACTAAACATTTATAGATTTTAAACCAATCAAAATTAATAAACAGTTATTTAAATACTTTGGGTTTTTATTGAAACTAATACTTTTATTCTGCAGCACTCTATACATTCTTTAGATGCATTATTTAACCAAATAAATCATTTTGTTAAAAACAAAAACAAACAATAGATATACCCAAATAAATTAACAAAAAAAGGGGAACAAATTATGCTTCTTGCTCAAAAGTAAATGTTGAGTTGTGACCTTCATGACTTACAGTTGTGGTGGCTCTTAGTGACGCTGTCTGAGTCCAGGGCGTGGTAGAACTCGTAGACCGATCGACCCAGCAGGTCCTCAGGGGAGTAACCCATCAACTCTGTCACTCTGTAAAACACACATTCAATCACATTATTACTCTCTCATTTTAACAGCACTGTTGTGCCATGTGCCATGATCGTGGTTTTTGACGTGAGAACCAGTGTCCGTGCCTTATCTTGACATGATGACCGAAGAAGAAAATACAGTTTTGGCAATTATATAGGGTTAAGACCTCTGCTAAGGATGTGTCTTTTGATGATTTTGATCATTTAATGTGTTTACTGATGAGTAAAGACAAAGCTAACAGGATGGACTGCATGCTATGCTGTCCTACACTAATATGTTTTGAGCTGTTGTTGAAATTTGGACAAGCTTTATTTCACTAAGGGTTCAAACACTGATATAACATTAGTGTTCATGTGTTCCTCATATGCTTGTTACATTTCCATAACCAGGAGACCAAGAGTCATTTAGTGGAATCCTGATGTCTAACTTAGTCCTCTTTGTACATAATGGTTTAGTTTAGTTGAGACTTTGAGTTAAGAGTTTTAAACTGAAATATGTTTGACTTGGAGCTGAATGATTTTTGTTAATAAACATATTTTGAACAGAAGTTGTGGTGAATTTATTCCATGTATGTGCAGAATGAACTGTTTGACCATGAATCACTCTTTCATCTATTGTTCTAACACACAGCTAGTAGGGTGTGTGTTTCTAAACAGTATATAACAGCTGAAATAATATCTGATTAAATAAGATATTTGCCACCCCTACCTGGGAGAGCAACAATCATCTTGAAATATCTAAAATATAAACTCCCAGCTGGCTGGGAATTGAATAGAACAGTTATTTCACAACATAAATATGGCATCCAACCTGGATTGGCATTGAATATAAATCCACAACAGCACTCTCAAATCCTGCTACTCTCCTCTTCAAAGGACTTGCAACCTAATTTAGAAAAGAAAAATCCAACAGATTGGTGGAATATTCTCCATCAATTTGTCCACATTCTCTGCCTCTGATCACTTCTAATGCTAATGGGAACAGTTCATTTGACTCTCATCACGAGTTCATCTCGTTAACCAGGACTTTGCTAAGAGCTCAGTGATCCCAAAAGGGGGAAAAAATCCTTCTTTTCTTTTACTCCTTTCCAGGGATGCTTAAACACATCAGAAAATAAGGCTTGAAGGAGAACTACAGGATTAAAGAAATAACTTTAAAGATTTAAGCTTAGGGCCCCTTTTGTCAATTTAAAAACAATTTTTAAGGAATTTTATTATGATTTTATTTGATAAATCAACACAAACAATTGTAAAATTGCAACGTGGAGGAAATATTCAGATTAAATATGTTTTTAAACAAAATTACCAGTTATCAGCCATCGCCTTGACCCCTATACCCTTAAATAAAATCCATTGCTGTAGTAGATTAAAGTAAAACACCACTGGAGGGAAAAAGGACTCACCACAAATCCCAAAGGAGTCTACATCCCTTACTCTGACACTGGGTGGATGCCAGAGTTAACCAGCAACAACGTTTTCATTTTAAAACTAACAAAAGGTTTGGTGCCAGTGATGATAGAGTAACTGAGTAACTTTATGAATAAAGTAAAGTAAGTGTAACTAGTCAGTTTTTACCAGTAACTAGCACAACACTGATGGAGGCAACATCCTCCTCTGGGGATGTGTTTGCTTAGCTCTGACAGGATAAACTGGGAGAAAACGGAGGCAGATGTTCGCCTTCCAGCAGAACAGCCATGAACATCCAACCAAAGCTGGGATGGAGGGATTTCCATCACAATATATTGAGGTGATAAAATGCTCCTGGGAAAGATAAAGGCAAAATCCAAATGGGTATCTGAAAAATGGCTATTAAAATACTAATATCAATATAATAATAATATATCAACTGAACACAGTTTAAAAGACTTAACTAGAAATAATTGGAGAGAAGGATTTTCCAGGGTTTGAGACATAAATGAGCAGCTAAAGGACCCAAAGTTATGCTGGACGCTTATGTTGTTTAGCAAGTTTACAGCAAAAATTACAGATTGCTCTTTTTTACAACACTCAGCGATCTGGATTGAAGGAATTTTTCGAAGACAATTGTGAGAAAAGAAAGTGAGCTAATCGGAGTAGGCCTGCACTGTCTGAGAGCTTTATAGGTTTTTCCTTTTTTTTTTACTATGCGTCATGTTTTCCTTCCACTTGACTCATATCACACTTTATGTTAGTCTGCTTCATTATACTAGAATGCATTTTGTTGCTGTTAGATAATAAACAGCTTTGAAAGCTCACTGATGTTAAGCAGTGCATAAGAAAAGGACATAATAAGTTAAATATTTGACAGATAAAATCTCATTTTATCCAGCTCTGGCTAAACTTGTGGTTTTCTGCAATGAGTTCATAACATAAAAATCAGTTTTGGGTTCTTTTTCTTAATTGTCTGACTTATTTCCTAGCTCTTTGGGTAATTTTGAAGGCTGCTGTAAATCAAAGCATCAGGTCAAAGGTCACTGGAGGAAGAGGCTCTTCCCAAAATAAGGACCCTCAGCAGGAAGTGACCCGCTGAACCGAAGCCAAAGAGAAATGCAAATAATAAAGACTACAGGCACAGAATCTAAAGGAGAGTTTAGAAGCTAAAGGAAAAGTCTCATGGAAAGGCTTTGATTTTAACCATTTAGGATTCAATTCTCTGACACATGACAGACTGTTCAATACAGAAATCAATCCTCATTTCTTGAAACTTTTGTTTTTATCCCAATCTCAGATGTCTCTCCATATCCATTTAAAAGTTACATATAAAGCAACTTTTTTTTTCTCACCATGGTATTTACCTCCCTTGTCGTTTTGACCCACAGTTGAGTTCCTGAAATTCCTCAGTAAAGAACAGGGAAAAGCGAAGATAAATTTTATATGCTATTTTGAGCAGAAGTGTTGTTAGGGGTCTTTCTTATGGGTGAGAAATGGCTGAAAGGGACAGAAAAAAGGAAGGGTCAGAGAGGAAAGATTAAAGAATTAATTAATGAAAGAATAAAAAAATAAACCATGTATGTTTATCTTCTTACCCCAATGTCTTAATATTCTGTGGTATATAAAAAAAACATATTTAATCCTAATCTAGTTGAAACAGAAGATATTTCTTCCCAGCGTCTCCATTTATCCTATAAGAAACCACAACTTTTACATAGAGATGCACGATATAATCGGCCCCCTATCGGATATCGGCCAAAATCCCAATATCGTGCATCCCTACTTTTACACATTTAAAATTTCAGCTTTGACATTTTCAACATGTGAATATTAAAACTGAAGATGAAACAAAGATTCAGAGAGCGACCTGAATAAGCTCTTTACATTTCCTGGCCTGACCAGTGATCAGCACAAGCTGAAAGAGTCTTTTTCCTAGTAGAAAAATCACCGCTATACAGTAGGAACTATGAGCTAGCTAACGCTAAAAGCTGCACTCTTCAACGACAGCTATTTTTTTATCAGCATTGAAATAAAATGTGATGAAGCACAGCATTGTAAGACACTGTAAAATAATAAGTTGTTTTTTTCTACTTTTTGTTGGCTGATTCAGGCTGCAACAAAACGAGAGAGAGAGCAAAGCAGCAGATAACAGGAAGGTTATGAATGGAGTACAGCAAAGTCATTCTTTTTTTTTTCATCTGTTTGAGATGTCAACCCCTGACAGTTATTGGTAGCCATTATGGTGAATTCCCATTAAGAGGAACGCAAGAAGTTTACATTTTAGGAGCTAGCTAACAGTCAGTGAAGCTAAGGATGTGATTGGCACAAACTGGGTGAGCATTATACACCGGATATACGTTGAAGGAGTTTTGTTTATCGGTTGAAAACTCATTGGAGGTTGATCTGCCCGCCTGCTGCAGTACAGCAGCTCCTGATCCTGGGTCCTGGACAGAACAAAGGTCAGGAGAACAGACCAACGGTCAAGTGGATTGATGCCCCTCCTATTTAATGATGTATTGAAGAAAGCAGGGTGGAATTTTACCACAGCTGTTTGTGAGAAGGAGGCAAAGTATAAAAAAGAGCAATGACAAGCGATCCACGTGCTAAATTAGTGACCTTGGATATTTTTACAGTTGAGTAAGGAGACCATACAGAGACGGTTATTTCTGTTAGCTATCTAGCTCAGTTAAAAATGTTTTGTCTCTGCTATAAAAACATTTTGAAAGGATCAGCAAATTACTACAAAGAATCTTTATTTTTTCCATTTTGAGCTTCCAAAATATTTATCCATTAAATATATATAGGAATTTTAAATGTTGGTGTTCAGGCTCTTTTTACAAAAGGTCAATCAATAAAAAGTTAACAACATTACCAGCAATACCTGCAGGTGACAGATGGGTTTGAAAAAGTTATCAAAAATCCTTTCGGAAAATCAAGAAGAAGGACTCAAATTAAAACAAAATGGACACAAGTAGAAAAATCTATTGGTGAGATCTTTATGATCAAAGGGTTGTTTTCTACGGTTTAAAGGGAGAGTGTTGGCCTAGTGGTCAGAGCAGTGCACTGTGCTCTGAGCAGTTCCCGGTTCAATCCCCACAGCCTCCACACTGCTCCCCGGGTGCCGCACAATGGCAGCCCACTGCTCCCCAAAGGGATGGGTTAAATGCAGAGAGGTAATTTCTCCACTGTGAGATCAAAAAAATTCAATTATTATTAATGGGCCAATTAGCAGTGTCACCTGAATACAAACATTACAATTTTCAAAAGTCAAAACATGAAATCCCTGAAACCATCTTGAGACATTAACTTTTCTTTGCAGGTTTGTTTTAAAAATTCTCAGTCATATTTGGGGCTAGATTTTTATAATGTTAAAGCTTGTAACCTTCAGTGTTTGAGGTCATATCCATGTAAATGTAACTTTTTAAACAGTTAAGAGTTTGTTTGTTTTTAAAGGCAGGGTATCCAATGTATGATCACATGAGGAAAAACCCTACCTTCAGATGTAGACTGTATGTTATCCTTGGTGCAGGAAAACAAAAACCAAAAACAACAAACCCTGGTTGACACTGTGCAAGCTGAGCAAACTGAGGA